GTTTGAGCTCCAGAACTCATGCAAAACAAAAACAAAAACAGAAAAAGAAACAAAACCAAAACCAAAGAACCCTGGGAGTGGAGCCTGCACGGGTTCTAGCCAGATGGGGTCCCAGCCATGGGAGGGGGAAGTAAACAAGGGCTCCCACCCCTAACTAAGAAGCTATCTGCAACTGATACTCACAAGCAAAGGAAAAATCAGTTTTCTCCCATGAAGTCTCACAGAGCATAGTAACCACGGTTCAGGGCAGACTCGGTACACAGAAGAAGTTGGCCAACTTAGAATGAGCTCAGTGGTATTTTTGTAGTCATATTGCTTTGTTTGGGCACTTTTATGTCTCCTTGGTCTTTTGCTTGTGTATTTTGGTTTACATGTTTATTATTGTTATTATTATTATGTTTCTTAATTTTTTGTTTTTGTTTTTTCAAGAGAGAGAGAAAGGCATGGAGTTGGGTGGGTGGGAAGGTAGGGATGATTTGGGAGGAGTTGTGGGAGGGAAAACGTGAGATCAGGATAGAGTGTATGAAGTTTTTTCAATTAAAAATACATCTTAAAAATTACAAACTATATTTTATTTTATTTTTATGTTTTTTCAAGACAGTATTTCTTTGTGTAGCCCTGGCTGTCCTGGTGCTAGCTCTATAGATCAGGCTGACCTTGAACTTAGAGATCTACCTGCCTCTGCCTCCTGAAAGCTGGAATTAAATGTGTGTGCCACCACATCCAACTAAAATAAATATTTAAAAAAACAGGGCATGGTGTGTGTTTGTAATCTCAGTACTGAGGTGACAGAGATGGGCAGATCTTTAGGGCTTATTTTGGCCAGTCAGGCCTAGGTGGTGAGTTACAGGCCAGCAAGAGAACCTGTCTCACAACACAAGGTGGATAACTCCTGAGGAATGACAGCTGAGGTTGACCTCTGCATGCATACATATACATGTGCACACACATGCATCTATACACCCATGAACATGTACATACATACCTCCCAATATTTGTAATTTGTACGGGTAAGTTGGCTAAGAATCGCTGTAGACTGCTAATAGCCAACCAGGAATTTTAACAGAATAAAATCAGATATGTTTACTTTCTTTCCTATGAAAGAAGTTCAGGATTAAGCCTCTCTGCATGCCCAATTTTGTTCTTCCCCTTTCTTAGCTGTATCTCTGGAGGGGATCCTGGCTGAAGTGATGCAGGAAGGAAGGGGTATGGAGCAGGTGTCTAAGTTCTCACTTGGGCTGCGGGAGACGGGTTCAACTTTCTGAGCTGCTGAGGGGACATGGAGTATATTCCCATAGTTCTTTAAGAGTTGCTCTATTCTCTCAGCCAAGAGGACATTGAGAAGTCACCATGAATTCTGGGACAAAGACTACCTGAGGACAAGAAGCAAATCATACACACACACACACACACACACACACACACACACACGCACACATACACATACATAAATGCACAATATACATACATGGGTACTCATGGACACATAAACACTCATTAATTTTTTTGGATTTATTTTATGTGTCTTCTTAATTATTTATATGTCTTTTGCCTGTATGTATGTATGAATGTATGTATGTATGTACACCATATGCATGTCTAGGGTCTGGGGGAAGTCTGAAAAGGGCATCGAATCCCCTGGAACTGGAGTCTTTTTTTTTTTTTTTATTGCGAAAAGAAGAAAAAAAAACATAAACAAAAAACAAGTTTCCACCTCCTCCCAGCCTCCCATTTCCCTTCCCCTCCTCCCACCCTTCTCCCCCTCCTCCCACCCTTCTCCCCCTCCTCCCACCCTTCTCCCCCTCCCCCCACTCCTCTCCCCCTCCCTCTCCAGTCCACAGAGCAGTCCGGGTTCCCTGCCCTGTGTTAAGTCCTAGGTCCTCTCCGTCCATATCTAGGAAGGTGAACATCCAAACTGGCTAGGCTCCCACAAAGGCAGCACATTAAGTAGGATCAAAACCCCCTGCCATTGTCCTTGGTGTCTCATCAGCCCTCATTGTTCGCCATGTTCAGAGAGTCCGGTTTTATCCCATGCTTTTTCGGTCACAGTCCAGCTGGCCTTGGTGAGCTCCCCGTAGATCAGCTCCTCTGTCTCAGTGGGTGGATGCACGCCTCGTGGTCCCGAATTCTTTGCTCATGTTCTCCCTCCTTCTGCTCCTCCTTGGGACCTTGGGAGCTCAGTCCAGTGCTCCTGTGTGGGTCACTGTCTTGATCTCTATCCATCACCAGATGAAGATTCTATGATGATATGCAAGATATTCGTCAGTATTGCTCTAGGATAGGGTCATTTCAGGTTCCCAATCCTCAGCTGCCCAAGGAACTAACTGGGAACCTCATCTTGGGCACTAGGGAGCCCCTCTAGGGTCAAGTCGCTTGCCCACCCTAAAGTGGCTCCCTTAACTAAGAATTGTGGTTCCGTGCTCCCCTATCCACCTTTCCTTTATCCCAATTCTCCCGTTTCCCAGGTCCCCCCTCCTTCCCTTCTACCTTTTCTCTCCCCATCTCCCCTTACCCCCATCCCACCCACCCCCCCCAAAGATCCCATTTTCTCCCCGGAAATTTGGTCTACTTCCCTTAGCGAAGAGGACAACTATATGTTTTTCCTTCGGTGGAACTGGAGTCTTATATATGGTTGTGAGCTGCCATGTGGGTCCTGGGAACTGAACCTGGGTCTGCTGCAAGAGCAACCAGTGCTCTTAACCAACCCTGAGCCTTGTTTCCAGTCTCCCTTTTAAATTTTTTGACAATCACATAATGCGTACATTGTACTCACTTGCCTATCCTCATCTCCCACTTAGGCCTTCTTCTTCCTAATTAGTCCCTTTGGTACATTTCTCTCTCTCTCTCTCTCTCTCTCTCTCTCTCTCTCTCTCTCTCTCTCTTTCTTGTCTGTGTACAAATCTTGCACAGGTAACCGTGAGTTCATGTTTGCGGTGTCACGTCTAGAAGACAGCATTCTATAGTGTTCCTCTCCATTCTTGGACTGCTACAATCTTTCTTCCCCTCTTCTGAGGCGTTCCCTGGGTTTTGGAGGAGACAATATAGATGTCCTGTTTAGGGTTGAGCACTCTGGGCAGTTTGAATAGTAACGAGTCTCTGTATAACCATCTTTCACAGAAAAAAGAAGCTTCTCTGACCTAGGGTAGCACTATTCTAGGTAGTAGAGTATATATATAGAAAAAATGCAAATATTTTTCCTTTTATTGAAAATAGAGTCTTGCCAGGCAGTAGTGGTGCATGCCTTTAATCCCAGCACTTGGGAGGCAGAGGCAGGCAGACCTCTGTGAGTTTGAGGCCAGCTTGGTCTAAAAAGCAAGTTTCAGGAGAGCCAACCTACACAGAGAACTCTTTCTTGAAATCTGCACCCCCCATAAAAAAGAAAAAAAGAAAAAAACCAAAAAAAACCCCTCAAAAAACCAACCAACCAATCAAGCAAGCAAGCAACCAACCAACCAAACAAACAAAAAAGAAAATAGATTTTTTTCTCGTACAATGTATTCCGTTTATATTTTCTCCTCCTTGCATTCCTCCCAATTCCTCTTCACCTTCCCTCCCCTCAGGATCCACTCTCTTTCTGTATCACTAAAAAAGGTTTCTAAGAAATGACAACCAAAATGACAAAATACAATATAATAAGATGAAGCAAAAATCATCTCACGGAGGCTGGACAAGGCAATCCAACAGAAGAAAAAGAGCCCCAAGACAGGCACAAGAATTTGAGGCCCATTAGCTCACCCAGAAATCCCATAAAAATATGAAGCTGAAAGCTATAAGATCTATGCAGAGAATCTTGTGAAGATCCATGTAGTGAACATAAATAGTTATTATGCAGATTGACTACATGTCTGGTTAGCAACATATCAGTAATAGGTTTCCTACTAGGGCCTATGACCTCCCCAGGCATAGACTTTTGACCAGGCTTGCATTCCCTGGTGTGTATTCCTTCCAACACACAGGCACATTCTTACACGAGTAAGCTTATTCTCTGGGTACTTTGGACACACTTTCAGTTCTGAATGAGTGAGTTTGTTAAGCATACAGAAAATCAAAGTAAAATAGGAAGTGATAGGTGGACCGAGATGAACATCATCAAATTTGGGACTTACAAACATACAGCAGGAAATGACTGGGGAGACACAGTCAACTGGGGTTTCCCACAGACAGAGTTCTGGGTAGAGCAGGGTGTCCCCTCTAGTGAAGCTTCTAAGGAAAAGAACAACCCTACATGAAGAACTACAGGTAGCTGGGTAAAGCTGGGAGAGGAGGCCATTCCCAGGGAAGAGCGCTCCCAATGGTTGTCCAGTACCAAATGGTCAGCCATAAAAACCATACACCTTAGTAATGTTATATGGACTCTAGGGGTTATATTTAGCAATATATATGTACACATAAAAACATACATGCATGTAATAACAGTTGGTGAAATAAAAAGGCCATGAATTTGAAGGAGATAGAAAATGGTATGTGGTAGGGTTTGGAGGGAGATGAGAAGGAAGAGAAGTTACAATTAAAATACAATCTCAAAAAGAAAAAATTAAAGAGAAAAAAAATAAAGAGCAAACAATAGCTAGAAGTAGCATCATCAGATTGGGTGTTCACAGGATTCAGCAGACACTGACTAGGGAAGTCGAGGCAGGCAGCTGGCGTTCTCTGCTTAGCTCTCTCTCAATGGCTGAGCTCCCCTTGTCTGAACTTCCAGCTCTCCTCCCATTCTAGGTAGTTTTGTGTCATGGGGTACCCAATGGTGCCTTCTGCTGTGCCTTCCAACCGTTCATTTTCCCTCTAGCTGTTTGCAAGGCTACAATGCTTTTATTGTAGCTGTTTGTTGTTCCCTTCCCTCCCTGTCACAGAGTCTGGGAGGCAGTCCTTCCCTAGACAAAGGGCCTTGGAGGACACGAGACAAACACACTTGGGTCTGAGATGGGAGAGGACAGTTCCACTTCCACAGGCAGCTTCTCAGTGAGCTCAAACATCCCAAGACAATTAACCAATATAATGTACATAATAAACCACTCTCCATTCAGATGACCTCAAAAGTCCCTATCCCCATTCACTTAGAGGATACGTCCTGTACCATCGACACCAGACTCATTCTCCAGAGTTCATGCCTGGAGCACTGGGTCCTTTAATTGGAATTCTTTTATGCGGCAGGGAGCCTGCCAGGAATGAAAAAGAGAAGGCGAAAGAGTGGGCGGCTGCAGAAGGCAGGGCCATCCCAAGAGCCTGGACCCTGAAGGCTCCAGCGTGAGGATCCCTTCTGGCTACTTTCCTCGGTGGTTGACGCTTCTGCTTGGGGCTGCCAGGCAAGTACTGGTAAGTTCATGGGCAGATCTGAGGTTATTCTGGGTTCTGGAGAGGTCTGTGAGTGGATGTATTCAGGATTTCTTAGAGATAGTTTTGAATTCACATAAGATCTAGAAGTCAGGGATATTGCCCAAAAGATTCTGCATCTCCACTCATACTGGTTTTGGAGGCCACACTTTGAAGAGAAGCATCTACATTGCATCCCAGGCCAGGTGAAGGAAGGTGGGAGCAATCAGTTTAGGCTTGCACTGCCAGGTTTCCTCCCTTCTCACGGGTTCTTTCCCTCTGTGGCTTCTTAACTTTCTGGGATGTATCCAGTCACTGGTGGAATCCTGACATCCCTCTCCATCCCAGCCCCTCTACCACCACCAAAAGTAGGTGAGATGCTTTGAAAAATTCTCATTTAAATGGGATTTTAAATAATCTCTTTAGGTACTAGAAAATCTGCTCAAATTCTGGGGTTTTCTTTCCTGGTTCAATTTTTAGTCTTCTATTGTTACTTCACTTACACTTTATTTGTTGGTTTGTTGAGGCATAGTCTCATTTAGTCCAGACTAATCCTAAACTCAGCATAAAATTGAGGATGATCTTGAATTTTTGCCTCCATCTCCCCAGTGCTAGAGTTATGGGCGTGCACCACACCTGGTTTATGCTGTGCTGTGGATAAAACCCAGGGGCTTGAGCATGGGAGGCAAACATTCTACCAACTCAGCTACATCTTAGCTCTATTTATGTTCTGAAGCTTAGTATACAAAGCAATGTGTTTCATTATGGCATGCCCATGTGTACTTTGATCTATTGTTGTTTCTTCCCTCAGTTCCCCCCTTGACCCCTCTGCTAGGCTTTGTCCCCCTCATCAGCCCCCATTCTGCTTCCATATGTCAGATCTATTCTGTTCCCCTTTCCTTTCTCACTGTCCTAAGATCTCTTTCCCCTCGAATTTGATGTTTCTGGTCCCTAGGCATAGTCCCCATTCTAGTTTCATGACCCATATCCATGCATAGGTATACATATGTAAAACTTAACATCTGGGACCTGCCTAGGAGAGAAACGTGCAGTATATGTACTTCCGGGCCTTGACTACTTCGTTTAATATGATGACTTTCTGGTCCATCCATTTTCCTATTGTTTCAGTGAACTAGGGGTTGATCACAGCCACCACAGGTAGTCAGGAAAGAATTAGCTACTTGTGTTATCGTGTTTGCACTCAAAACAGTTCCGTTTCTCTTGCGCTGGGAAGAAGGCTTCGTGAGTTAACTGCTTGCTATGAAAGCATGAGGACCCAAGTTAGAATCCCCAAAACTCACATGAAAACTGGGGTGTGGTAGTGCATGTCTATAACCTCTGCAGTACGGTGGTGGGTGAGAATCCCTGGAATCTCAGAGGCTAGGTAGCCTGGCGTTCACAGTGACAAACAAGAGACTCTGCCTCAAGCAACGCTGAAGGTAAGGATTGACACGGGGTTGTCTACCTCTACGTTCACACTGTAGCTGTAGCGCATCCCACCCTTCTCTCTCTCTCTCTCTCTCTCTCTCTCTCTCTCATACACACACACACACACACACACACACTGCACACACATGAAAGTAAAAAATATTTCAGATTGTAGCATTTGAGATTTTTAGGTTTTTTGAATTCAGAATATTTAAACTGTAGTGGTCATTTTATTATTATTGTCCTGACTTTCAAAAGAAAAAAAAAACACCCCAAATTTGTTCTATATTTGTGTCATTTTGTTACTTTATTAATTCTGTCTTTTAAATTTTATTTTTCCAAGGGTGCTTATATAATGCCTCAGTTTATTTTCTTTAGAATCAGCATGGATTTTAGAAATGTTTTATTAGCTTACATTAATAATACATATTTACTGATTTCCTCATGACATTTTTATACATGTATATCATGCTTTTTCTTGATTCACTGCCCTTTACACTCTATTGCCTCCTCGCTTTCTTACTGAGGCCCTTTCTTGTGCCAAAGGCCTCTTTCTGCCTTTTCTTCCTCCCTCCCTCCCTCCCTCCCTCCCTCCCTCCCTCCTTTTGTGTGTATCTGGTGCTTGTAACTCTTCACATGTCTGTGTGTCCTTGTGCATGGAGGTCAGATGTTAACTTTAGGGTCTTCACGGATTGGTCTTCACTGTACTTTTTGAGACAGGGGTGCTTTCTAATCTTGGAGCTCACTAATGATTGGCTGGGCTGGCCTGCCAATGGATTTGCTTGTTTCTCCTTGCTTCCTCCTGCCCTGCCCCTCAGCAGCCCTAGGTTACAGAAGAGTGCTGCTATGCCCGGCTTTTATGTGGGTGCTGGATATTCAAACTGAGACCCAAATGCTTTTATGAGGTGCATCTTACCTACTGTGCTATTTCAAAATTAGGGAGTGGGTTTTGAAGTACAGGGACCGTAATCTGGGGATCAAATGTTGGCAGTAGTGGGAAAGGAGAGGCCTGAAGTGCTAGCTCCGGAAAGGATGGTGGTATTTGACAGATGTAGGACTACCTTTCTGGAAGATAGAAGAAAGGAAGGATGGCGAGGTGGCCTACTGGTAGAGGCACTTTGTTACACAAGCTTAGCCACCTGAGTCTGATCCGTTGAAGCCACAGGACGGTAGGAGGAAAGAACTGACTCCACAGCCTTGTCCTCTGATTTCCCCAGGCATGCTACGGTATGTGTGCCCCTCCCCCAAGTGTGTGAGGGTACATGTGCATGTGCGCACAATAGAGACAGTTGCAGATAGTAGTCACACTGGGTTAGGGAAGTGGAAACTGTGGGTTCCCCTCACTCTGACTCCATTCTAAATACTTATCCTGATACCCACAACTAAGCATAGCTCTCACTTGTCATTAAAGAAACTTCTGTTGGCAGCTGATGGACAAATACAACTGGTCATAATGCAGAGAGCCACTGACTGCAGGGGGCCCAGCTCCAGTTGATGCATCTACAGTACAGTCTTACACCTATGGCTCAGGAAACCCTTCACAAGACAGGGGCAGAAAGACGAGAAGAGTCAGAGGACCAGGACTTCTAATGAGCCCAAGAAAGCTCAACAAGCTAAATAAGACCTGAAAAATGATAATACCAGGTTATGTGCCACTGAGGAAGGGGGAAATCTCATGCGGCCACATTCCTAGATAGAGTTACAGGCAATTGATGGCTTCCAAAAGAGGGGGAATTAGCCTTCTCCATGGGCAAGCACCTTATAGGTTATCTAACCCCAGGTGGCCATCTCTAAACATGCATACATATGGGACTCAGCAGTTTGTGTGTGTCTATGGGCATACATACATACATAGACACACATGTATGTAGTAATAGCAATTAAAGAATAAGAGGCCATGACTTTGAGAGGGAGTTGAGGGACATGGACAAAGTAGGAAGGAGTCGGGGGAAATGATGTAAATACAGTACTCATCTATAAAATTCTCATAAAAGGGAAAAAGATAAAGAATCATCTGTGGAGCTTTCTGGAATAAGAAGTTTGCATAATATCTTAATATAATAAAACTGCTGTGAATATTTTTGAAGGAGTAATTAGTAATCCACAGAACTTATTTTTCCCAGTCTGGAGGCTAGGAAGTCCAAGAGGCAGGCACTAGCAGATAAAGTGTTGGGTGTAAACCTGTTCCTTATGGATGGTGATGTCTCTTAGTCATCAATTGATGGAAGGGGTTGAAGGGCTCCCTCAAATATCTTTTATAACCCCATGCAACCCCATTCATGATTTAAATACCTTTCTTCTTATTTTTGTTGCTTTTCTTTTTTTGGTTCTGGGTTGAATCTAGGGCCTCTTGAATGGTAAGCAGGTACCTCTAGTAACTCACTGGGGAATTCTAAGTAGGTGCTCTACCACTGAGCCACACCCCTACCCCTCACTGGGGGATTCTAGGCAGGGGCTCTACCACTGAGTCACACCCCAGCCCCTCACTGGGGGATTCTAGGCAGGGGCTCTACCACTGAGTCACACCTCAGCCCCTCACTGGGGGATTCTAGGCAGGGGCTCTACCACTGAGTCACACAGTTAACTCCCCACCACATTTCAGCATCTGACTTTGGGGAGGACACCAACAGTTAGATCACAGAACATGATCATTAGGGAATGAGAAAGGGAAGATGGTCGGGTATGGCAATGGCTGGAAGCAGCTTTTGGGCACTGAAGAAGGCAGAGATAAAGATGACAAGCTTGGTATTATGGCCAGAGAACTGAGATTTTTCTGAAATTTATCCTCAATAATAGTTACCCCTAGAGGGAGATAAACATTTAAAAAACAGAGATTAGACATTTGAACTTCTATGCTCTGCCCCCAAACCCTATGGCATTTAATTATGGCAAATTGTTGTTTCTGAGATGATAAGGCATAAAGAACATTAGACTAGAGTAAATGCTGACATTGACTCTGGCTATTTCATCCCATTGCTTTCTAGTCCCTAGTCGATACATGTTGTGGTAGGTTTAAATTAAAAAAAATATTTATTTTATTTTATGTGTGTGAGTGTTTTGCATGCATGTATATATGTGCACCACATGTGTGCCATCATGGAGTACAGAAGAGGGCATTGGCTCTTCTGGAACTGTAGTTGCAGACGGTTGAGAGTCACCATTGTGGGTGCTGGGAACTGATCCAGGGTCCTCTGCAAGAGCAGCAAGTACTCTTAACCATTGAGCTATCTTTCTAGCCCCTGTAGTGATAAGTTTAACTGTAAACTTGACACCAACTAGGAAGGGAGTCTCAATGAGGGATTGCTGATCGGATTTTGTGTGTGTGTGTGTGTGTGTGTGTGTGTGTGTGAAGCAGTTTGCCTTTATTGGCTGAATTGGGAATTGGTTCGGGAAGACCCAACCTTAAAGTAGGTGGCATCATTGCCTGGGTTTGGGTTCTGGGCTAAGTAAGTATAGAATCACTAAGCCTGCATGCCTTCATTTCACTCTGCTCTTGAGTGTGGATATGATGTGAGCAGTGTTTAAATTCCTGCCACCTTTATGTCCCTGCTTTGATGAGCAAGAGTAAATTTTTGTAATTTTGTAAGCTGCATTGTGAGTTAGAATAGATTCCCTCTTCTTTAAGCTTTTTTTTTTTCAGTTAATGAACTAGGACATCTACCTAGATTCCTATTATTCACTTACATTTCTTTACCTTGTAAATAAGGCCAACCAGAAACTCGGTATTAACTTAGTTTAGATGAGTGTGCTCACAGAAGTCCATTCATACAAAAAGATTTGGCCCTAAATCAGGAGCAGAAGGAGAGAGAGCACAAGCAAGGAACTCAGGACCGCGAGGGGTGCACCCACACACTGAGACAATGGGGTTGTTCTATCGGGAACCCACTAAGGCCAGCTGGCCTGGGTCTGAAAAAGCCTGGGATAAAACCGGACTTGCTGAACATAGCAGACAATGAGGACTACTGAGAACTCAAGAACAATGGCAATGGGTTTTTGATCCTACTGCATGTACTGGCTTTGGGGGAGCCTAGGCAGTTTGGATGCTCACCTTACTAGACCTGGATGGAGGTGGGTGGTCCTTGGACTTCCCACAGGGCAGGGAACCCTGATTGCTCTTTGGGCTGACGAGGGAGGGGGAATTGATTGGGGGGAGGGGGAGGGAAATGGGAGGCGGTGGCGGGGAGGAGGCAGAAATCTTTAATAAATAAATAAATTAATTAAAAAAAAGTGCTAGAAAAAAAAAGATTTGGCCTTTAGGGCTGTGATATTAGAGGGTGCTGTGGTCCTGAAAGAACTGTTGTCTGGGACTAGAGAAATGGTGTGGTTAAGAGTGCTTGTTGCTCTTCTAGAGGACCTGAGTTTGAGTCCCAGTGTCCATGTCTTGTGACTCACAATCACTTGTAACTCTAGCTGAAAGGGATCTGATGCCCTCTTCTGGTCTCCATGGACAGGCATGCACATACACCTGGCATAGACACACACACACACACCCATACATACATAATATATATATATATATATATATATATATATATATATATATATATGTATGATGCGGAGCCTAATGGGAGGTCTTTAACTCACTGAAGACATGTTTCTTGTGTGTGTGTGTGTGTGTGTGTTTGAGAGAGAGAGAGAGAGAGAGAGAGAGAGAGAGAGAGAGATATTCTCTGGGACTCATTCACTTTACTTTTTGATCAAGCTCTCTTGCTGGTTGGAGGCTCTCCAGCTGGCTCAGATCTTCCTATCCCTGCCTTCCCAGCAGTGGGATTCCAAGTCCACACCACCACACTCAGCATTTTCCCATGGGTTCTGAGGATTGAGCGTAGGTTTTCACACTTGTGTGGTACTTGAGTCACTGCTCCCCCCCCCCCCCAAATCCATGAAAATGTACTCTTGAAAGGGATCATGGAATTCTCTTCATCTTCCCCCACTTCTTGTATAGAAACTTTTTGCTCAATGTGTTTCTTCCTCATTGCTATCCAAGACATGCCATGTTCTTTCAATGAGTGACCTTCACCAAGTATGTGCTATGCCATTCGGAGTCCAAACCTTCGCAACTGTGAGCTAGTTAACCTTTTTATGTTTATAAAGGTAATTACCTCAGGCATTGCTTTGTAGGCTTGCAAAGTAGGCGATATGGTGTTTTATTAATTTTGGAGAGGAGCAAAAAAGCTTGCTTTGCAAATCCTTGGATTAGCAGGTGAACAAGACATTTGAAGCCTCCCCTGAAGGGCAGTGAGTGGGACACCTTTTCTGATAATTGTCCTCTGCTCAGTGGCAGAATGTGTGGCAAGTTCCTGAGGCAGCTGTTGGCTAAGGAGAGCCAGCATTCCACCCCCGTGGGGCGCTTCCTGCTTCCGGTGCTGATGGGATTCCGCCTCCTGCTTCTGGTTTCCAGTGGACCTGGGGTCTTCGGTGATGATGAGAGCGAATTCATGTGCCATTTAGGGCAACCAGACTGCAAGACCATTTGTTATGATGTCTTCCGCCCCCTTTCTCCACTGCGCTTCTGGGCCTTCCAAGTCATCTTGATGGCTGTACCCAGTGTGGTTTATGTGGGTTTCACTATGTATCATGTGATTGGATACTGGGAGGAACCAGACAAAGGGAACAAGGAACAAGAGTCCCGGATTTGCAAGGGGGACCGCAGTAAGGATGTCTCAGGGACTGGAAGCCTCAAGCTTCTTTGGGCCTATGTGGCACAACTTGGGGCACGGCTGGTCCTTGAGGGAGCAGCCTTGGGACTTCAATACCATCTGTATGGCTTCAAGATGCCCAGCACTTTTCAATGTCGTGAGGATCCTTGTATCGGCAGCACAACTTGTTTCCAGTCGCACCCCTCCGAGAAGACCATCCTCCTCAACACCATGTTTGGGATTAGTGGGGCCTGTCTCTTGTTTACTTCCTTGGAGCTTGTACTTTTGGGTTTAGGGAGGTTTTGGAGGATGTACAAGGACAAACTCCCCCTTTTAAAGAACCTGCCAACCTCAAAGAACTCTGTAAGGTGCAAGGACCCAGCTGATGACTTGACAGTGGTGGAGACGAAAGAACCGTTTTGAGAAGCAGGTGAGGACCCTATTGACATGACAGTCATCTGTCCCTGCGTCTGATGTCTCTGTGTGGGTGACCTCCACCCAGGGTAGGTCCCTCATCCTCTGGGGTGTACAGCTCACCATATTACAAAGTAGATAACCAGTCTCAAAGCCGATGCGTTCTAAAATAAGATTTACTCTTAATTTTAAATTGTGTGTATGTATGTGTCTGTGTGTGTATACACAGGAGTACAAGTGGTTGTGGAGGCTAGAAGAGGGTGATAGATCACTTGGAGCTGGAATTAATGGCATTTGTGAGCTGCCCAGTGTGGGTGTCAGGAAGCAAACCAGGCTTCTTTGAAAGAATAGTACACATTCGTATTCACTGAGCCATCTCTCCAGCCCCAAGATGTATTCTTTTAAAGGGAGGAAGTGTTTCCTTTGGTTCACAGTTTAGGGGTACAGTTCCTCAAGGTGGACAAGGCATTCATATATGTATATGAAACGGGTAACCCTAGCTGTCCTGGGCTTGCTTATGTAGATCTGGCTGGTTTTAAACTTACAGAGATCCCCCTGTCTCTGCATCTAAAGTGCTGGAATTCAAAGCACAAGGCACTATACCTGGCTGAGTCAGATGTGTTTTGGTTACTGCCCTGCAAACATCTCCCAGCACCTAATCCTATGAGTTGCATGACTCCTTCTAGTAGACCATGATGACTACACTAGTGCATGTACTGCCTGCCCTTTCATTTGGTAAAGTCCTGAGCTTCTGCTTGATTTCTGCCTTACAGAGTTTTAAAGTTACCTGGCTTGCTTGAAGAAAACCCTGTGACTGGATCTTCCTCCATACATCCAGTGAGATGGCACAGTGGGTAAAGACACTTGTCACCAAGCCTCATGATCTGAGATCAGTCTCCAGAACCCACATGGAGAAGGGAGAAAACCAACCCCCCACGAGATGTCCTCTGACTTCCATATCCATACCATGGCACGCACGCACACACACGCGCATACATACACACACACATGATAATAAATAAAATAATAACATCTCAGTAAATAAAACAAAAACTCCTGCAACATTAGCTATTATTTCTGACTTCTTCTCTCTCCTGTCTTTCCACTAAACATAAGCAACCACAACCTACTTTCTATTCTAATGGCTTATCTTAGCCTGGAGTTTTATAGAGATGGAATCATACAACGTGTTTATTGGCTGCTTGTATATCTTTGTAAAAAAGACCAAGTCCTTTGTCAATTAAAATCAGGTTACTTTTTGTTGTTGTTTTGCATTGTAAGAACTTTTTATATATAATGATTATTAGATACTTATCTAATTATTTTAAATGGGTCATTTAAAAATATTCTCTTCCATTCCATGGGTTGTCTTTCATTTTTTTCTGAGTAATGTTCTTTTAATATTATTCTTTGATACTTTCATACATGTATATGGTGCATTTTGATCATAACCCTATCTAACTTCTCCTGGATCCCCCATCGTGTTCCCATCCTGATTTCATGTCCTCTTTTTTGTCTATAACTCACCGAGTACAAAATTAGTGCTACTCAAACGTGCATAGGTATGAAGCCATCTACCAGAACATGGTCAGCCGGCCAGATGACACACCTGTGAAGAACATGACTCTTCCTCCACCAGCATCTATCAACTGCTAATGGCTCCTCAGCTGCGGATAGTCCATCGCTCAGCCATGCTGGAATGATGAGTGCTGGGAACCCGTGAAGGCAACCGCTGCTTCTGCGAGGTCACGAGTGTAACGTCCCTACCATGTTAAGAAGATGTTGTCTCATAGCAGACCTCTCAGAGCTCTGCTTTTTAAACCTTGCTTTCTCACTTCTCTGCTGTCACCCAAGCTTTGGGGGCAAGGGTGTGATATGGATGTCTCATTTGGGGCTGAGTACTCCACACTCGTTGTCTGCATTTTGGTAAGCTATGAGTCTGTTATGGGACACTGTCCACTGCAAAAAAAAGTGTTTCTCTGGTGGGGAGTGTGAATCTATGGGTATAGAGAATTATTTAGAAGATCATTTGATACTATTGTAATTTATCAAACTAATAGTAATAGGCTTTTCTTTAGGTCCTATGAGCTCCGCAGGATGGTTTCTTGGCTAGGTTTATAATATCAGGCTTGAGTTTCTTCCTGTGGAGTGCATCCTTAAGCCAATCAGAAAGCAGTTTGTTACTCCCACACCATCTACACCACTGTTGCCTGCCTAGGTATGTCTTGTGAGGCTGATGGCGGTAACTCACAGGCTTCATACCTAAGTTGGTATGGGAAGTCCTTCTGTATATGTGCTTCTTTTATCGGTTAATGAATAAAGAAGCTGGCTTGGCCTGTGATAGGGCAGAGTAGAGTTAGGCTGAGAAAACTAAACTGAATGCTGGGAGAAAGAAGGCGGAGTCAGTGAGACGCTATGTAGCCACCAGAGGGGAAAGACGTGAGCTGCCAGCTGGAACCTTGCCTGTAGGCCACAAGCCTCATGATAAAATATAAAATAATGGAAATGGGTTAACTCTAGATGTAAGAGCTGGCTAGCAATACGCTTAAGCTGTTGGCCAAACAGTATTGCAAATAATATAGTTTCTGTGTGATTATTTTGGGAGTCTGGGCAGCCAGGAAACAAGTGGGCATCCCCCAACAATGAGTAAGACGGTGACTGCTAGGAAAGCTGGCCAGCAGGGAGTTGGTAGCATGAAAGCTTTCTCGTTTTTTGTTTGTGACTTTGGTGCTACATTTAAAAAGCCAATGCTTGACCCAAGGCTATGAATTTACACCTGTGTTTCCATCGAAGAATTTTATACTTTTAATTTTTACATTTGTGTCTCCAGTCACTTACAAGTTATTTTTTTACCGTGCAAAAAGAGGACAAAGATGAAATTACATTTTTTATTGGAAATAATGCAAATGAGCAGAATCTTTGAGGTATAAAAAGAAAAAAATTCCTGTTACTCTAGAGTCCTACACTTGGCAGAAATAACTCCCCAAAGCAAAGAGAAAAGAAAGATATTACAGCTGACCAATATTTCAATGTGTTGCTGACTTACTGTTTCAGTTATTTTCCTATTGCTGTGCTAAACCACCATGACCAAGGCAATTTATAAAATAAAGTGTTTTATCTAAGGCTCCCAGTTCTAGAGGGTTAGCTCCATGACCGTCATCGAATTGTGCTGTGCTTAAATATGGCTGAAACAAACCACTCAGGGTCAGACTCTCAAAGTTTGAACCAACGCCGGCCACTGAGCCATGTTGAACAGAGCCCTCTTGTCTCTTGTGGATCATCTCTCTGCTGGTCTGTAAAGGTGTCAGTTGGGTTCAGCGCTTTCCGGGTGATAATTAACTCAATCCCACATGCATAATAAAGCACAGTGTACACTAAATAAATATTGGATGTGATTACATTGAAACTCTTTGTAAAAGCACATCTGACGCCTTCCATAAAGGCAGGTTCTGTAGACTGACTGAGAAAAACAAGCTTAAGGTTTGGGAGAGGGTTCAGTGTTGTCTCCAACCACATAGAATGTGCAAAGGTCACTAGGTTAGAAGGTCCATCTGCTCCTAACCTTTTGGGAGGATAACAGGTATTTTATTCCTTCCTTTGAAAGAACAGCCTTGTGTTCTTAACATTCCAGGTCCACTCCCCCAGCCCCCACCCCACGGTGCCACATGTTTATCTATGAGCACAGAGACCTCCATGTCTCCTAAATTCTACACATACTAGAGCGAAGCAATTCCTTAGGATAAATCTCTTACAGGTACAAGAACACAGGTACGTACATATACGGACATCTTATTGGTTTGGTTTCTTTGGAGAACCATAGATTAATAAATTCGCCAACTATATAAATAATCAGAAATAAATGCATGTGGGATTTGCAATGTATTTACAAGTAAGACCCTTGGCAACAGGAGCTTTTCTTATCATTAGGCAATGACTTTATCTAGTCCTTGCTTTTAAATCTACCTTGAGCCTTCTGATTAAGACAGTGGAGTAGAAGGTGGCTTCAGGGAATCCAGGAAAGGAAAAGAGTCAGAATAAGGAAAAAAAAAACCCTTCAATTCAGAAAGAAAGAGCTTCAGAAATTTACAAAGGTGTTGTGGTACGGAGCGGCGGGCTGTGTCCCGCCACCCGGCTAGCTTTACCCGAAATAATTACACGGAAACTGTATTCTTTTAAACACTGCCTGACCCATTAGTTTCAGTTTCTTATTGGCTAGCTTTTACATATTGATCTAACCCATTTCTAATAATCTGTGTAGCCCACGAGCTGGCTTACCAGGAATGATCTTAACCTGCGTCTGTCTGGAGTGGGAGAATCATGGCGACTCCCTGACTCAGCTTCTTTCTCCCAGCATTCCGTTCTGTTTACTCCGCCTACCTAAGGGTTGGCCTATCAAATGGGTCTAGGCAGTTTCTTTATTAATAAGAAATCACTCCCACATCATTTCCCCTTTTTCTGTTTAAACAAAAAAGAAAGGCTTTAACTTTAACATAGTAAAATTACATATAGCAAAACAGTTATCAAGCAAGAATTACAGTTACAATATTTATATCTATTTTATCTTTTATCATAACTAAGGAAAACTATAACTATCTATTCATTCTTCAACTCCATCAAAGACTCCAGAAGGATATAATACTACCTAAGTAAACAAGAAATAAGAAAACTCTAGAAATGACAGAGACATCTTGCTGCCTGGACAGTCACCCAAAGTTCTTTTGTATGGTTGGGGCATCCATCTTCAGCCTTCAGGCCCATAGTATCCAGCAGACATTTCCATGAAGCAGGAAATTTCAAAGACAGTTCAGTCACTATCTGCTGTGTCCTGCAGAATGTCTCGCAGACTCTTTCATGAGTCATGAACCCCAAAAGACCGTCTCACCTTTAGGCAAGTTCAGCAGTCCTCTCTCTGCGGGTTCTCTGTGTCCATTTTATGCAACAGTCCAGGCAAGAGCAGTTTCTTGCCCAAATGGCTATCAAACTCCATAAGGATCCTCTTCGATGCCCATCTTCTTCTTGAAGTAGATTGGTGCCGCCAGGAGCAGAGTGTCTCATTGTCATGAAAAGTCCTAAGTTATTAAAACATTAAATGCCATATTCTGCAGTCTTTGAAAGATATGAAGAATGTCTATCTAACTGAAATGTATCTCTATATATCTAGAAAATCTAACTAACATGACTACAAGATTGACTATTATTGATGATTAACCATTAACCTATATTTCTTAATTATACATTACATTTTTAAATGAACTACACAATCACAATACCTTAATCAAGATCAGAAATACATATACATATAACAAAATTGACTGTAAAATCCACACCAATGCAAATTACTCATACCTATATCATTTCCCCCTTTAAATGTAAAAGAACATTTACAAACACTATTTTGGGAACATGGGCGCCGTTTTTTCTCTCTAAACTGCTTTCTGCTGAATGGGGGCGTCGTTAATTAGGTCTTTCATGGTATAACCTGTGTGCTAGTTTCATCTTAGTTGGCAGTTGAGCGAAGCAATTTTCTGAAGATGTTCACAACAACCTTTTAGGAGGGCGTGGTCTATCATACCAAATTGTAATAGAAGAAATCCACAGGGTTTGGTCCTCTGTGAAAACAAAAGAAGACCCTCTCCAAAGCATCATATTTTTAAACCCAAATTTTGAAATCGTAATACCCTTATATCCATTTTGGTTTAGCTTAGCAGCCCATGTAATGAAATGTCTCTCTGTACTTAGCTCCTTTACAGTCAAAAATTTTAAAGAAAGCACAATGTACATAATCCAGACTCTCTGTGAATTTTCCATTTTTACGTGGCTTATTTTTTTTTATTTTTTTTAATCTCTTAACTATCTGTACTCTGTGTCTTTAAAGACTTTACCATTTTTTTTAAGACATTTACTTTATTTTCTATATTTTTATTCTTTTTTTTCTCAAGCCTATGTACATTCATCCAACACTGTGATCCAATGAGGTCTGTTATGTCTGAATCTGTTTTATTGTGAATCTGTAATATTTTTACTATCCAGGAGCATTTCTTAAAATGTTAAGCACTTCTTGAAAACTTAAGTTGCACCATGTACAGGTAATACGGTACCACCTGTGTCCTGCCCAGTCTAAACCTTAACTGTGCTGTTATTATGGTAATTACGGTAGTTCCTGCCAACCAGCACAGTTCAGCAAGGAGCAGCCGCTCCTGCCTCAGATCCATTTGGTGCCCCTGAGCTGTGCACAGTTCCAGGCACACAGCAAGTCCTCATTGGAGCCGCACTCAGCAGTTTAATTTTGAGACTGAGCATGCAGCACAGAAACTCTTTTTATCCAAGTTACAACCAAATCTGACACGCAGAGCACTGCGGAGTCTGAAAACACGTCTCTTTCACCATGCTCTTCCGCCTGCCTAAGCCTGATTCTGCCATCTGCCCAGGTGCAGGCGGGGAGTGCTGAGAGCACTCTCCTTCCGATCCCAAGCGGGAACACAAACATCCAGTCCCATAAAATCCATTGAAATGCTTTAAAGCCAGAGTTTGTACTGGCGGCACAGTCCCAAGAAGCCGCACTTTAAAATGACGCAGCTTTTTTTTCTGCTGCTGTTGTCGAATCAGGAAATCTCTCTACAGCACGCCACCAACAAACAGCAAAAATCTGTGTTAAAGTCTCTCTCCCTTATTTTTAAGCCTTTTCAGGTTTTTTAAGTGGATTTAGCCCCACGTTGGGCGCCATTCTGTTGTGGTACGGAGCGGCGGGCTGTGTCCCGCCACCCGGCTAGCTTTACCCGAAATAATTACACGGAAACTGTATTCTTTTAAACACTGCCTGACCCATTAGTTTCAGTTTCTTATTGGCTAGCTTTTACATATTGATCTAACCCATTTCTAATAATCTGTGTAGCCCACGAGCTGGCTTACCAGGAATGATCTTAACCTGCGTCTGTCTGGAGTGGGAGAATCATGGCGACTCCCTGACTCAGCTTCTTTCTCCCAGCATTCCGTTCTGTTTACTCCGCCTACCTAAGGGTTGGCCTATCAAATGGGTCTAGGCAGTTTCTTTATTAATAAGAAATCACTCCCACATCACAAAGGTAGTATTAGGGCGTGTGAAAAGTACAGAAAAAGCATAGGGCAATGCATTGATAAGAAGTAACTCAAGGGCTGATGGTTCAGTGGTTAAGAGTGTTTGCTACTCTTGCAGAGGACCACAGCTGCCCGTAACTCTAGTTCCAGGGGATTCGACGCCCTCTTATGCCCTCACTGTGCTTATATGCACATCTTCATCTGTAGATTCCTCCCTCCTCTAGGCTGATTAATACACAGCTCCTCTGTCTGTACAGTTCCTGCTACTTCTCACAATGCCAACACATGGGGCAGACACCATCACTCCCCAGCCCAGATAG